TATATATCCATACCTTAACTTAGCGATAGTTTCTGTGGGCGAATAAAAATGAGTCAGAGACACCAGTTGCACGCGCTCTGACGCAACTTTCTCCGTACAGTTATAAGCTATAATATTGCACGTGAGAATGATTATCGATTCCATTTCGGAATTTACACAAAATATTCAAGCAATAAGCGTTCTTCTTTCATTTTATATCTTATACGTTTTCTCTATCCTAAACATATTCTTCTTTCGTTCTATTTACACTCCTCACAGAATGATCGTAGTTATATTTACAATTAGTAAAGCAAGTAAAGGCACTTCGTTCAATTTTATTGCAATTTTATTACACAAATTACAGCACCGCATTGACATATCAAACTTATTGTTAAGCATTTTAGTTTCTAAATAATCTCTTGCTTTTTGGAAAATTATTTCAGCTGATGTTAAAAAAAAATTTTAAATGTGATGTGATGAAAATTTAAAATGTGAGCGATATTATTTTCAGAAATCACATCAACTAAGTCCTGCTGTGTCCTGCTTCAATTCATATTCAATTACTGATTATTGCAAAACAAGTATTAACATGAATATACGAAACACAAAAATTTGAATTGCGTGTTTCTTTTCTTTACGGCTGAAAGTTGAAACTTGAAACAGCTGGTTGTATGCTCGTGGTAATGTTGTTAAGCGATATGACTGCGGTACCAATATTAAGATGACACGTATAATTACAAGCCCGTTCAGCGGCGACAGCCCAAAGAGTTTTTGCCTCACCTGCGTGTACACGTTATGTCCATAACTTCTGCGAAACAAATAGTTTGTTCGTCATCACTGCTATTTCGAGGCTTATCTCCGCTAAAGAGAGAGAGAGAGAGAGAGAGAGAGAGAAATCTTAAAATTGTAGACACTTGGACATTAGTGCTGCATGATGTAAATAGTATTGTCAGTGCAATAATGTAGCTTTTGCATCATTTTAACGGACGCACAGACATCTGCCGTTTGCACGTATAATGAATTTAATAGCGATACCATCTCTTACAGTTTATACATGTCCATGGAACACAAAAAAGCGTAAGGTGGACGTGTAGCAGTAAGCAAATCAGCCAATCATAATAGAGAACATAAGATAACAACGTAAGCAACAGTAACCAATCTAAAATTATTGATTTGCTTACTTCTTACATCTTACATTGCTTAAATTTTTTATGTGCGTAAATTGTTGCGTAAATTGTTGCGTGTCAATAAAGCAGATTGTTAGCATCATTTTGTGATAATATGAATGATAATTAAATGAAAGATAAATAAATAAAAATAATTAAATAATTAAATAAAAGATTAGATATTTGGTGATTATTTTAATAACTTATATTTTAATGATATTTATGTAGAGATAAAAATATTCGAAGATAAAATATAGAAGTTGAAAATTATCGAGTATAAAATATATTAGGTGTACAACTTTGCTTCCGCCGTTTTTTTTCCGAAATTCGAGGCTTTATTGTAAAAAACTGGTTATACATTTATGATTCAAAGTATTGTCCATCGCTGGCCACTACTTTCTCCCATCTTTCGGGTAGCGTACGAATCCCGCGTCGAAAAAACTGGTCATCTTTTGAGGCTATCCACAAATCGATCCAATTTTTTACTTCTTCATAAGACCGGAAGTGCTGATCAGCCAGGCCGTGTGCCATTGATCGAAAAGTGATAGTCAGAGGGAACAACGTCTGGAGAATACGGCGGGTAGGGTAGGACTTCCCATTTCAATGTTTCTAAGTATGTCTTGACCACTTTCGCAACATGGAGTCGAGCATTGTCATGCTGCAAAATCACTTTATCGTGTCTCTCGTTGTATTGCGGCCGTTTGTCTTTCAATGCTTGGCTCAAACGCATCAATTGCGTTCGATACCGATCGCCTGTGATTGTTTCAGTCGATTTTAACAGTTCATAATACACTACGCCGAGCTGGTCCCACCAAATACAGAGCATGACCTTGGACGTCAAAATCACCGTTCTTGAAGCGTTGAAACCACTCACGACACGTTCTTTCACTAATAGCTATAACCATAAATATTTGAGAGCATTCGATGAGCCTCAGCCGCAGATTTCTTCATATTGAAGCAAAAAATTAAAACCTCCCGCAAATGACGAGAATTTAGCTCGTAAACTGACATTTTCAATCGAGAATAACTTTATGATGCAGACACAAATCGACTAATGTTTTTATGGGATTGTGTTGACAGATGTCCAAGTTTATTGTATGACGTCTATGATTTATTTATTTCGACCACTTATCGCTAAAGTTATCTATAGAAAAACGGCGGAAGCAAAGTTGTACACCTAATATTTTGTTATAATTGCATAATCATGTATGTAAATATTATCACACTCTAAAAAAATTTTCATCGAAAATGAGATTTCGTCAATGCCCGTGTTTCTTACTAATATCATTTTCTGTTAACACAATCTTTTCGCACGCACTCACACGCACACATATACTTATTCCTGATGATACAACGTTAATCTGCAATATCGCGTTCTCCGAAATGTGACCACTCAACCAACGAGTGTTATATGTAAAACGGCGCAATTATCCGCATAGTAATCATCTTTTAAAATATGCGAAATGAGGCACATTACAACGTCCTGCTACGATTTCCATAAACAATGTGTACAATGTGCACGATTTGCCCTGCAGCCGACGAAATCGTGCCGAGGGGAGTGGGTGTGAATCCTTAAAGCCTCGAGTAAAGTGAACGAAGGAGAAAGGGAAGAACAGGACTTCATAATAGAGCAATTTAATAAATTGTCGAGCGTGGCAATTAGGACAGTGTTAG